GCTTTTTGGCGGCATCAGTGAGGCATGCGGGCGCAACCTCGATCGTAGCCGCTGTTGTCTAGTGCTCGCCGCCTGGCTCTTTGCTGCGCATGCTAGGTCAGCACTACAGGTACCGTCAGTTGTGCCCACATCGTCAGACAGTCTGATGGTACCGGATGACTCCCAGAAGTGCGTCAACTCACTTCAGAGCTCGCTGTAGAGTCGTAACATAATCATTCCACAGCCCAACTCCACATGCGACGCCATTCTCTGTTTCTGTGGCATTCGGCTCCATTAGATTACCTCGCTGAGTTGCCCCGCCGCATTCAACCATACCTCCTACAGGAACGCAACTCCGTTGGCTGCCGTCAAGAATTTGGAACGGAATTGCCGGAATTCGTCCTACTCCGGCTGCACCAAGTGTCTTAGTGCCTTTGAAAAGGTTAGTTTTTTTTTTTTTTACTATTTCTTATCGTTTATTTCTTCCCATTGGCGCTTTCTTTCTTCATAATTTCCAATCATCTACCATTACTTGAACGGCAACTGAATTGTCAACAAAAATCTGTTGTTCTGTCATCTCTTCTGTATATTTCCTATTGCTAACGTGCGCTATACAAGCATACCAAGAACTAATTAACAACCAATTAAATCGAGCTATAACAACCAATTAACACTCCATCTCACTAGAAGCAGGATGATTCATCAAAATTAAATTTGCAAAGCACCACTACAAATTCAAATCTGCCCAGAACTCCTAAGCCGAACCAAAAGAATTAACTCAACTCTTACAGATCGATCCCAGCCAGCAGAACAATCTTTAGTCTCACTCTAAAAAACAAAGGAGAAAAAAATTAAAGATTATCTATCTTCGCCACTGATGCGCAGCAACAGCAGAAATCGAGATGAACCGTTGTTAACGGCAGGTACTAGTAAAGCTATAACTCTCGTGTTCATTCGAGATATTACAAGACGTTTATATTGTGATATTACGGATAGGTTGATAAAGAAAACTAAATGATATTTTAAGGGCTGTTTTGTCTTTTCAAATCTATGTTCTACTTATTCAGATTTAATTCGAAAATTCTCATTGGATTGGATTTCAGATATATCCCCTATATCATATCCGATCCAATTCATTTGTAGTCCTACCTTTCAATTTCCCCAAAATAGAGAAATATATTTAGGTGGTTGGGATTACTTGATTAAGGCATTTTTGTAGACAACTGTGTACCAATGATTATCAAAAAAAAAAGAGGAAATGATAGTTAGACAATAATTGATTAGTTCAATTTTTGATTGTTAGAAAAATAAATAAAATAAAATTTCTAAACTAATTCAAAAATCAAATGATTGTAAATTAAGAATAATTTAAATTTAGTCCACCTTAGAATTGTACAGTTCATGTCAGTATCAGGGGAGAGATTCCCAATTCAAGGGGGGAATGCTGTTTATATGTAAGAAATTAATAAATGAACTCTGAGGGGGAGTGGAGAGAGTGGATTATAAAAAGGCCCATAAATTATATGAATAGGTTAACTTTCTCAACAAGAATTAATTAATTAATTTCCTTACGTGGGGTAGACATGATCACAGAGATTACCCATATAGTTGTATTCCATTTCTTTTTCGGTAAAATAGTTGTATTCCATTTCAGACTTTCAGTCATTATCTTCCATACTTATTTTTCCTATTTGATTAACATATAAGGTTATAGATGTGCTGAAATGTTTTTTTTTTTATAATTTTTATATTTTTTTTGGATTTTTTGTGTTGATGTTTTTAAAAGTTGTGTACACCATTTATATCATTAATAAAAAAATTTTTAGCTTATTGAAATTTAAAATATCATTGATTAATTTATTTGACTTGAATGGTTGAACCATTGACTTACCACTTAGATTGGAAAATGGTTTTATTTCCAGGTTGGTTTTAAATTTTGTATTCCATTTCCATTATTAATAAAAAGATGCTTCTTATTTATCATGCTCATTATTGTTTAATGGGACAAACATATAATAGAGGTATGTGCAAAATTTTCTACAATTTTTATTTTTTTTATTTTTAATTTCTAGTATTTAATTATGACATCAATTACTTGTTTGACCTAAATGGTTGAACAGCTTGCTTGTCACCTAAAAGAAACTGATATTTTCTTGGTCAGTTTAAAAAACATAGACTTTTATACTATTAAGACTTACTATTCATGGACTTAATTAGTCAAATTTAATTATCAAAAACAATAATACCATAATATAGAATGTGAGAGAATGGGAGTGATACCTTAAATATTGATCATAATGAGAGGGAGTAGAATGAACTGAAAAGTAATATTCAAATTTCAATTTTTGCTCTTATAACAGAGATGGACCAAATTCAAAAAAAATGTAAATATGTACAATGCAAATACATGCAAAATAATACAAAATATAAGGTTTTACGCTCTACATATTTATATTTGTAGTCCTCCCAAACTAAGCCTTATTTTCAATAGAAAAAATCGTCAGCTTTGAGCCATTGGCCCCATGGCGAAGGATGATTCTAATCTTACCCATCTAAATTAGCTACTATATTTTTTCTTAAGAAAAAAAAAAAACTCTGGGCCGGCTCACGGTTTATCAATTAACCACGGTTTACAACACTGCCATGCTTGAAGTTCGAACAGTGTCAATCATCAAAAGAAAATCCAGCTCGGCCATGCCCGAGTCGACTCGGCCGAGCTTAGAAAAGTGAGAAAGCCCCCCTCCCCAAATGGGTGGGCCCTTATGGGCTTCATGTGTTTAATATGCTAAAAGAGTAGACGTAGAAAAGGTTGTATCCAGACCCAAGAATATATTCAACGTCGGTCGCATCCATGAATCAATCCAACTCGGTTCAAGTCCAATACTCCAAAAGTCCAAATGCAGCGTTTGATACGCTGCTGATACAATTACATGGTACTCACAGGGACATATTTGAGATTTTGGCTGCCTCCGTAATAACTAATATTTAATAAGAGTGTGGGTCCCATTTTCATCTAGTAAAAATTTGTGCACGTGCTTTAATTCTCATCTCTGGAAAAATGGAAAGTGGAAAGTTATAGCTCTCTCTTGTGTGTTCTTCTCATCACTTCAGGAGTGCAACCTCGTCGGCTTGCGTCGACGTAGGCTGGTGTAATACGCACTACCGCACCCGATAGCCAACGCTTACAGGCTTACTAGACGCCACGTCACTACGTTGTGAAAACCGTTTGTCAGAGAATTTTGCTTGCTTGGTTTATGGTCATCTCATCTCATCCCTTACATATGTCAACGGGTCGAGTTCGGTATGGGTTGTACTAAACCCAAACCCGACGCGGAGTCACCACAACCTCTACCCAACTGCACCCCATCTCACTAGTCACAAAATGATATCCTTGCACCCTGAGCCCTTGACCTTATAGGATCGGGCCAAGAAGGGATTGTCCACCTAGAAAGAAGTGGCGGCAGTGGGTCGGACGGACTTACCCAATTTGATCAGTTTTATTAATGTAGCACTAGACTGACTCTGACTTGAATTCAGACCGGGTTGGAAATAGCCAGCTCAAAGCTGAAATGGGTTGTTGATCGGGTCAAGATACCCCACCGTACGTAGGCCCTAGCTTTGCCATTTGCCAAATATTGAAGGGAGTAAAGAGGTAATACTAAATAAATCCAAACCTCATTTCTTGCCAAGTCATCATTCTTTTCCATATCATTGCTGAAAAAAGGTTCAAGATATCCCACCCTAGACCCTAGTTTTGCCATTGCCAATAGTAAAATATTGAAGGGGATCAAGAGACAATACTAATTCAATCCATATCTCATTTCATGCAAATCATCATTTCTTTCCATAGCATTGTATGATCAATTCAAAATTATCCTTGTAGTCATAATTGGGTTGAATTTGGGTATTGATTGATATTTAAATAAATTTATTTATTTTTTCAATTTTAATATATATTTTTTATATTAAATTGTATAAATTCAAGTTAATTTATATAAATTTATTGATATTTTAATCAAATCGTATTTGAATTGGATGTACAGATACATAAACAAATTGAATTAAAACATATGATTTCATTCAATATTGATTTAAATTCGGATCTCTTGGGTTTTTATTAGATTAGATTTACACATACATGTGTATCGGGGGTGTTTCAATACTGTATGACTTTTTCCTTTTTTCCAAAACTGCTCAGAGATCAGTCTTAGACCTGCCTATCCCACGAAAATGGTCAGAACCCCAAAACCTTGTATTTAGAATATCAGGGGCTTATAAAAAACATAGAAAAATATATTTAGGTGGTTGGGATTAGTTGATCAATGCAGCTTGTTGACATGGTAGACAATTGTGTGCCAACGATTTTTAAATGATAATTGATTAGTTCAATAATATTTGTTTATCACAAAAACAATAAACATAAAATAAAACTTGCGACTTTGCAAGCTAATTTACAATCAAATGGTTATAAATAATAATATGATTAATTAGATCAATTCTCATGATCAGTAAATAATAACTGTTTTCCTTTTATTTTGGTGGGTATCACCTTATATAACTTATGATTGAATGAGATAGAGCCACGTGGACATGATCAACGCCATTGGGAGAGCACATCAACCATGAATGCAATTTTCCAATGGAGTGAGTAAAGAATATAATACTTCATCTTGTGGGGCCAAATGATCAAGCCAGACAATCAAGACCGAGCAAAACAAAAATAACTATCTGCAGCAGCCAAGAAGGTACAATGACTTCACGAAGAAAAGTCCGCATGCAAAATTATAGAAAAGGAAAGGTATCAGAAACGAAGCAGATGGAGAGAGAAAGTCAAAACAGGAGGGGGACAATGCACCGTCACTGGCCCAAAACCATAACCTTAGAAAAGTCGCATTTGAACTCTCTCTCTCTCTCTCTCTCTCTACCCGTTTTAAACACAGTTAATAATCCGTGTTTTGACTTTCTCGTTTGAATCGTCATTTTCTCTTCCTTCGCCTCATATAAAACCACGCGTTCTCCCTCCCCCAAACCAATTCAGAACAAGCATTCAGCTTCCAAGTTCCAACAACTTCATCCCCAACCTTCAATCGAATCCTCAACGTTTTCACTCTTAAATTTGGGTCAAATCAGATTCGGCGTTCTTCATCAGTAAAACATTCTGGGTTTTCCCTGATTGAAGCGTTTTTTAGCAAGATTTTCCATCTTATCTTTTGAAATCCTGCGCTTAGGGCTCGGATTTTCTTTTTGGTTTCCTTGAATTTGGATTTTGGTATCTGGGTATTGATTAGAATGGATCAAATTGATATCCCACCTTATTTTATCTGCCCGATCTCCCTGGAAATCATGAGGGATCCGGTGACGGTCTCGACGGGGATAACGTATGATAGGGAGTGCATAGAGAAATGGGTATTTTCCGGCAAGAACAAAACGTGCCCAGTCACAAAGCAGGTCTTGTCGGATGTTGATTTAACTCCAAACCACACCCTCCGACGATTGATCCAAGCGTGGTGCACCCTCAACGCCTCCAAAGGAATCGAACGGTTCCCGACGCCGAAGCCGCCCGTCGACAAGGCAGAGATCGCCAAGATACTGAATGATGCTAAGTTGCCACAGTTGCAGATGAGATGTCTTCGGAAGCTCAAGTTGATGGCATCCGAAAGCGATAGAAACAAGAGATGCATGGAGGCTGCAGGGGTAGTTCAATTCTTGGCTTCAATAGTTAAGAATGGCAGCTCTACGCCAGTGGAGGATGTGGTGGAGGATGGAGTACTCGAGTTCACAACAGCCAGTGACGAAGCACTCAGCCTCCTTTATCATCTCCAAATCTCACAGTCCAGCCTCAAGAGTCTCATGAACAGAGAGGGCGAGTTCGTAGGCTGCTTGACTCGAGTCTTGCAACGTGGGAACTACCAGTCTCGAGCCTACGCCTCACTCCTATTGAAATCCATGTTCGAGGTGGCCGATCCAAACCAGTTGATCAGCTTGAGAACCGAACTCTTTGTGGAGATCGTGAACCTCTTGCGCGACCAAATCTCACACCAGGCTTCCAAGGCTGCACTGAAAGTCCTGATCGAGCTTTGTCCATGGGGACGAAACAGAATTAAAGCGGTGGAGGCTGGTGCAGTTTCAGTGGTAATCGAGCTTCTTCTCGATGCATCAGAGAAGAGGGCGAGTGAGATGATGTTGGTTGTGTTGGACCAACTGTGTGGATGCGCAGAAGGGAGAGCCGAGCTGCTGAAGCATGCGGCGGGGCTGGCTGTTGTGTCCAAGAAAATACTGAGGGTGTCTCATTTGGCAACCGAAAGAGGAGTGAGAATACTGTCATCAATATCAAGGTACTCTGCAACTCCAAGTGTTCTTCAGGAAATGCTGAATCTAGGGGTTGTCTCCAAGCTGTGTTTGGTCCTTCAGGTGGACTGTGGCGTGAAGACCATGGAGAAGGTAAGAGAGATCCTTAGATTGCATTCTAGGGCATGGAAGAAGTCCCCTTGTATTCTTCCCCATCTGCGCTCTACTTATCCATCTTCTTAATCCATTATTAATATGAATATCATCAACCAGACACAAGAGAGAAAGAGAGACAGAGAAGAAGAGAGATCAGATTTTTTGTAGTGTACACAATGGAAAATATATACATGGGCATGAGAGAAAAAAGAATCTCAAGTGCCTAAAAGAGAAATTTTCATTCAAGAATGAAATCATTTTCTTTTCAATTATTGTTTAAATCCTTTACTTTTCCCAAAAGTTGGTCCGAGCTGAAAGTGTTCGGTTTGTCTTGATTATCACTTTGACAAAGAAATAAAGGAATGAACACACAAATTGATGGGAGAAGACAAACTGTTAACAGTGTAAAGAAACTTGGAAACGCCATAAAATGGTTTGTCTCCTACTTGGAAACGCCATAAAATGTATATATTTTGTTTGGATCTCGAGAAAGTAGGAGTTTGTTGAGATTTCTGTTTACACTGTTAACACAAATCCGGTTGCTTTTGGGTTTGTTGTTAATTAGAGCATTAGAGAAAATCTAGTTCAGGATGTTAACCGATCCTTTTTCCCAATCCTACAAAATAAAATTTTATTTATTTCAGTAAGAAAGAGGAAAATTAATGATAAGTCTGGAAGGAATAGAAAGGAAAATCATCCATGGGTCCGTTAACGGAACATTAACGGCACAAATACACTAATAGAGTCTCTCTCTCTCTCTCTTTGTAGGTTTTACTTTTACAGTATTGGCATTCATTGTCACCCATAAACCTAAACCCTCTGTCTCTCTCTCTCTCTCTAGACCTTGCCAGTATTGGCATTCATTGTCACCCATAAACCTGCTGTCGTTGTTCTTGTGGATGGTGCTAGAAGGGTCAAGTTCACGCGTCCGCTATTGGCAATGTTTGTGTAAACCCTCTGTCTCTCTCTCTCTCTCTTGGCAAGTGGCAACGTAGGTGAGACGTTGAAGATGGTGAACAATTTGAATGCCCTAAATGCCATATTAATCTTCAGTCAAAAAAAAAAAAAAGAAAAAACTGCCATTAAATCTATCAAAAGTTTTTAGGATGATGTGGCAAAAAAAAATGGAGGGCGATTGACCCAAGGGCATATACATATGTATTGCCACATCATATATGAAGTGCCATTTCAACTTAAAAAATGGCAAATATCAATTTTGATGTTTGATATATAGAAATAGCAATGTGTATTGATGAACTTAAAATATTTCAGATAAAAAGAAATCTCTTTTGGACAAATCTATACTGATCAACCCAAACAAAATGCAATAGCAAAACAATGCCACTGTATCCAAAAACCTTTTAATTATTGTAACTTTTTTTATGTCGAACACCAACAATGATAGATATAAAAAATAAAAGTATTTTCTAATGCTTAGTTTGGAAGCAGTACAAATTTCTATGTATTTACACTGTACATATTTACATTTATACTCTTTCCAAACAAAACAAAATAATTAAGAGTTAAAGGTCCACTACAGTATTGACTAATAATTCACAATTGGTGTAACGACTAATACATCCATATTTAAATGGCAGTTTCCTCCTTGAACAAAGCAAGACATTTTTATTTTATTTTATTAGATAATAATGCGGCTCTATAAGAGAGAGAGAGAGCTGCAAATCAACCTTCCACTGGTCGACGCTACTTGAGCTTTTGCTGACCAATTAAAGTCCAATTGGTCAATATATATATATATATTGACCAATCACACTCGAACCGTGCTATGAATTGGCTGGCTCATAGATGTCACAATATCAAGAACCTAGATTTCCTGTGAATTACAGCCACACATCTTTAAATGTGTAGCTGCAATTCACGGCGGATAGAGAATGGGTAAGAAATCCCGTTTGCAAAATCAAGACACATTGAGTCTGAGGCAGACCATTTTCTGGACAGAAGAAGCCATGCAGACCCTACACACTGGGCCCGTTCAATGGGTCAAATGACTGATCGGGATTCCATCAGAAAAACCATTAATTGATAGTAAACAGTCTAGCCATCCCGTTCTAAATCAGCTGCTTGGACTTTTCTAGAATGCAATTTCAAAGAGACATGATCGATAATGCCTGTAGAGCCCGTTTGGTAGGGTTGGACTGAAGATTCAGTTAAATTGGCTCAGCTGCTTTGAAACGATTCAGATAAATTATTCAAAGAGACATGAAAGCGAAGATCCCTTCAAATGGGTGACTAAGTAACATCCCAACAGTTGATTTGGGCTCTCCATATCGAACCCACTTCGGAAAGCACAAGGATATATACTTTTTAGGGGCACTTGAGCTGCCAAAATTAAGTAATTAGTCACTAATCTAATTTTTAATTAATAAGTCTTGGTCTTGGTAGTTCCTTTCTACCATACTTCCTTGATATATAGGTTCAATATTGCATGGTTCAACAGTGCATTTATTTCTTAATTTTTGAAGCCTGAGATTAATTACACCTAATTCAGCAGCATAGACCTTACAAAATCTGAAGGAAAAGACCAAGTCATGGAGCCATTGTGTCTAAGAGCATACTATAAGTTAGCACATCGACTACTCATGCCTAAGACCAAGTCATGGACCGATTGCATCTCATTCATCACGGGTTGAACTGCTTGACCCAAATGGTTGAACTGCCGAACTAGAAAACGGTGCTTAAAATGGTTCCATTTTTGCATAAATTTTTAAAACCTTGACATTTACAATTATTATTTTCCAAAACTTTGACCACCATCTTAATTTATTTATTTTAGATTTCAAGTAAAGCAACAATACAAATGGCAATTCTCTGCAACTAGCTTAATTTGTTGACAAAGCAAACTCTTCATTTATTTCATTTATTATTGGAAGTAGATGGCATGATTCCTCTAAAGAATTAAGGATATTTCTTTATGGCTTAATATTTGTTTTCTTTACTTGGATGGGAGGGAAATTGACAAATTGTCTTCTGAATCGATGAAGGGTGCATTCCACAAAGGTTTTGGTTTACGTTTTGTGCGGGGTTTTGCAACCAACCACCCCCCGTCCACCTTCCTTGGACCCTCACCCCTGCCTTTTGCTTAATTCAGGAAACATCTTTTTTTTTTTATAGTTTCTGTCCCAAGGAAATGTTAATTTCCTCCCATGTAAGCTTTTACATGGATGGCATAATTAATGGTACTGCACAGAAATGAGAAAACCAAGGAAACCACAACCCTAATCCACAATGCCCATGGTTTCTCTTTCTAACTAAACCCCAGACTAGCTAAAACTTAAAAGAGAGAGAGAGAGAGAAACCTCAGACTGTGGAAACTGACTTCTGACTCAATTTCCTAAATTTGCCCAGTTTTTCTTGGTATTGTGCAATATTCAGTGAATGGGTCTTTAGTCAATAACGTTGATCAATGACAACCCAACTCCTTAATTACTGTGACGATCAGATAATGAGCATACTCTCATTCAATGCATGAAACACAACAGAAGAACACTGCTCTAGCTACCATTCTTGTCGCAATTTCTTTTTTTTTCCTGTTGACTGGATCAGGGACTCTTCGCCATCCAGCCTGGGTTACTTATAGCTGGCTCACATATACATAGAATCATGTCGATTTCTTTAATGGAAAAGAAGAGAAGAGAAACATTCTATAAAGAGGAATCAAAGCCCCAGATCATCATATCCAATGGAAAATTTTCTGGAATGGTGAGACAATTCTACTCTAAAAAAAAAAAACTTTAATTACTTTCTTCAATGGGAGATGCCAAGGATGGTACCAAAATTTCTAAATAATTTCTATATTATAGCCCATTGATTCGGTGAAACCAACAAACTAGTAATATAAGTGGGATTCAGAACTTTTATTTATTAATTTATTTGCTTATCTTTTGTGTGAAGAGAACACTCTCATTGAGTAAACCTTGCGAAACCTACCATATACGGTTATCATATTCGTTGGCTAGCTTGGAAAAAGAAACAGTAGTAGTCCACACAAATTTTTTTCTTTTATATTGTTGTTTAAATGTTATAAACGTTATACAGGCCGGTGAGTTCATGATTTATTTAATCAAATTATTCTCATGAAATCAAAATTTTAAAATTTGGGCTAGCTAATTGATGATCAACAGAAAGATATTCAAGTCAATATTATATTCAATCGTTCATGAGCTAATTAGGAGGGATCCATGACTAAATTAGCAGAAATTTTAATCTGGTTCACTAACTCCAGATATTCAAAGTCATATTATCAGCACCTCAGGGTGTATGAGCCAATGGTAATATGTATCTGCTGCTGCTCAATTGAAACTTGAAGTAATTAAGGGCTACGTCAAGACAAAGTTGGGTACGTAGATTGAAACTTGAAACTTGAAACTTCTACTGCTTTAGGTAATGGAAGTTTTGATGAAATGATAATGAGATAAATAATGTTTTGATTTGATTTTTTTGGTCTGATTTCTCTGACCAATTTGAATGGGAAGCTTTTGTTTTACTAGGCTAATTGATGAGTCATTTACAACTTGTTCTCTCTTAGATTACGTATTGCTATTAAGAAAGTAGTAATGAGTTGGTTGGCATTAACCAATAAGAATAAAATAAAGTTGTTCAATGCAAGGTTGGAAAACAAATAGTTAATCTCCTACTGAAAGATTAAACTATATATATGAATATTATTCCAAAATCTTTGGTTAATGTCTTGTAAAATTTTAACCAATTTGGGTTAGAATTCATCCCACTTTATTTTTAAAGCAGACTGGAACAACTACTTACCAACCATAACATATTCGTTTATTGACTTAATTAATTTTGCTTGTTAAGCTGGATTCATAGCACAGAATCTCATCTGCTTGCAATGAATTGACAGCCCTAATTATAATATTAACTACTCCTAACAAAAAAAGATGATTTATAATATTGACCAGATGCCGATCGTGGTGGCCATGCCACAGGTGTGGGGACGAATTCCTTGCTCTTGGTGACGTTGAGGAGCGTCAGAGTTGCACCCATGACGGAATTCTGGCACGATGTGCAATCAGACTGGTTGGTCGAGAGGTCACATTGAGTGCATCTCTGGATGACTCGAGAGAGGTCAACGGCGAAGCTAATGGAGGCGACAATGGGATACTGGCAAGGGCGCTTGCCGGCCGAGAATTGGGCAGGATCGGCATTGAGGTTGCAGCAGTAGCCAGTGAGGAGGAGAGAAGAACGAACAA